TTTTTTTTGGCAGAACCAGGGATTGAACTCAGGCCCTTGCGCTTGCCAGGGAAGCGCTTATTCCACTGAGCCATCTCCCTGGCCCAATGATTGTACTTAATAATAAAAATGACTAACATTAAAAGCGTATATCAGCATGCTAAATACCAATGTTGCCTTTCAGTATCATGTACTACAGTATGTGATCTGAGATGCTTTTAATTTCATCTGTATCTAATTCATGGGTGCTGTAGATTTTATAATCCAACAGTTGTTTATCTTCCATTTTATAGCTAGATTGTCCTTTTTTAACTATAATGGGAGTGGTCCCTTGGTTCACAAGCTCAGCTCTCCCCACAATTCTGATTGCAAACTGAACTGGATGAGAACTGAATACAATTTCCGCGTAAAGCTAGCACTGGTCCTGATCATTAAATCTGACTGTCCAACTTGGTTCAAGAACAAAGTCATGGAAAGAATAAAGTGTGTGAACCAAGATACCATCATATAAAGCAATGACACTCAGGATTAAATGGATGCTACACAAAATATATTTTATAAGAAATGTTTTTAAAATCCCTAGGATACCTACCAGTGAAGCCAACCAAAGTATTTCTTTTCCTAGGCAACAGAAGCAAGCATAAACCTGCAAGCAATAGTGGAAAGAAAAGTTGAGTTACCTAAACTAATTCTGAGAATTAGGCAAAGTCACCTGGTTGAAGATGCCCTATGTCAGTTAAGACAAGTTTAAAACAAAGAGCTTGGGAAAGTATTAGTGGTACAGTAAAATGTCTCATTGAATATTTTTACTGCTGTAGGATGGACTATTCCTCTTAAGCAATAAAGCCTTTTAAAAGCCTGCATGCTGTAGTCCCAGCATTCTGAGGGGCGAAGGCATCAGGATGGCAAGTTGGAGTCCAGCCTGGGTAAAGGGGAGACTTACTCAGACTCTGGGTTGAATCCCTAGGACTGCCCCCCCCATCCCTCCCAGGCCCATAGTCTGCATTTGCTACTATGCTTATTAGTCTTCTGGTTTCCAGAACTCACACTTTACCCTTCAGAGAAGAGAACAGCAGTAGGACGTTCACTGCACATTGAGCTGTGTTTAGTACTGATGGCCATGAAAATGCTGTGTAATAAGTCCTGCCAAATTTTTGTGCCCTAAGATCCCAATAATTTATTTCTCAGACCTGCTGGTTTAGGCTGAACTCATCTGGTGGCCTTGCAAATCTCCTCTTCCATTTTTACCCCTTTCTTCCTGCCCTTTTTTCCCCTTTGGCCCCCTCTCTTCTTGTGCCTCTTTCTCTTCTCCTCTTTTCATTCATTCCTCTTGTGTTCACTCCATCATCCTCTCTGCCTCCTCTTCATCTTTTCCTCCTCTTCCTCTTTCTTTTACCTCTTCTTGAGGACAGACCCACCACCTTATACTTGCCAGGCAAGCATACTGCCCCTGATCTTATCCCCACTCCCACAAGTTTTGTCTGAGTTTGTTATAGGTCTGACCTATAAGCAAGGATTTGGTTGGTCTATACTAGGCCTAACCAGGGCATTTTGGCTCTGCTTTATATGTCCATCTTCCTGCTGGCACAAGCAAGCATTTCTTCTCATAGCAGTGCAGGAGGTGCAGTATGGAAATCACTCAGTAGACACTGTTTTAGTCAAGGAGTTTCATGGATAAACCCAAGTTAAAGGTTTAGGAAAAAAACAGGAGGAACTACAAAAATCACATGCAAAACAAAAACGACAAGTAAGGAGGGGTAAAGAATTGGGTCTGTTCATGCAATCTACAAGTAGCTAGTGTAAGAGATACTATTTCTATATTTTGGCTCCAGTTTTAGCTGAAGACCTTTTACTATATGGACTTTAATTCCAGCCATCTTTACTTTCATCCTTTGTACATGCCCATGGGATATTTATTGTCTGGTATTTCAGCTATTTTGATCCATTGAAGTTACAGAATAATGGCTACATCAGTGAGTGAGAGCTGGAGTCTTGCAAAAAGAAGTGTATCTTCCTGATAGCAGCCATGAGGGTAAACATTAGACCATAGAAGAATCAGGAACCTAGAAGGTGAGACTCAGATAGAGAGATATTTTGCAGTATAGGATTCTAGTGGAAAACAAACTATTCTATAAGTCAGATGTTCTAGTTTTGTGGCTCCTTTACACCTAGTTTTCTTTGTGTTTTGAGTATGAGGGAATCAATAGAAAATTATTCTAATAGGAGAAAACCAAAAGATAAGAAAGTAAACCTCAAGGCAAATCTAATCAGTACATAGATTCTAAACATGACAAAGTTGTCAGGGCCCCCTATGCGTAGTTCCTGACTGGTATTTACCAGTAAGTACCAGAATCACTGAGGCCTTACTTCTATCCAATCTGTCTGTAAGAGACAGTCTTACTGGTAAATAAGCAGAAATAAGAAAAATCACAAGAAACCTTTTTAAAAATGTATTTGATTGTTACAAGGTCTCACTATGCAGCTGGGACTCATGGTGAGCCTTCTGCTTTCAGCCTCCCCAGCACTGGGGTTACAGGCATGCACCACTATGCCTAGACTCTGGCCTGCTCAGCCTGCCCTGGGGGTGGGGCTGGTGCAGCATGTGGTGCCCGGATTGAACCACGGACCCTGCGATTGCCTAAGTTTGCCCAAGCAGGTGCTTTAGTCTGTTGAGCTATCTCACTGATCCCAAGAAATCTTAACTTATTATTGATCTATCTAATGAGAAGGTGAGGCAATCCTTAAACATGACTATGGCCAAAGTGTTTGATCAAAGAGCATCAGATATGATTTCCTGGACAAAGAGTAGAAAGAGACCAAAAATATAAGAAATAAGCTTCTGGATACTTATAATAAAACAATATGGGCTTTAAGTATAGCTCAGTGAGGGCCGGCCAGATAGCTCAGCAGACTAAATCACCTGCTTTGGTAAAGCACAGTGGCTGGGGTTCAATCCCCCGCACACTATGCTGGCCCTGCCCACGGGGCACACTGAGATGGCAATTGAGACTGGGCATGGTGGCGCGCACCTGTAATCCCAGCACTTGGGAGTCTGAAAACGGGTGGATCACTATGAGTTCAATCTATGTAGTGAGACCCTGAACACCCTGTAGACCCTGCCCTAAATTCAAAAAAAGAAAAAGTATAGCTCAGTGATGGAGAATTTGCCTAAGTTATATGATTCCATCCTCCACTGCCAAAAAATAAAAGAAAAGGATTATCAGCCATAGGTAGAAAAGTAAGAAGAAAAAGACTACAGAAGCAGGGTGAATCAAGGTAGTACTTTACCCAAAGTTCAAAGGTAGAGATTTTTTTAAAGGTCTAGTTAGTACCGGTTCCTCATGTAAGGGCTAGGGCAATCACATCCTATAGTTCCTGCACAACGTCACACTCAGGTTAAGTGGAAAAGGCAATTTGTAAAAGCCCTAATGTGGACAGAAGCAGAAGAAATCAAGTCACTGTTAAATGCATGCAAGGATGGAAGACTGAACAGTAAGATGAGGATAAACAATAATACAGAATAGCTGGGGGATTTAGTGGCCCAGCAGGATGAAGTACAGCACAATTAGGCTCAAGATTCTGGTCAACATAAATGTTGGGTGCTAATTCTTCCTAGAGTTTCCCTTCCCTTGCCACATGTGGCAGTCTAAGGGATCCATACAACAACCTGAAAATATTCGTGGCCTCTGCTGCTCAGCCAGAAATTGAGACTGATAGACTGGATGAAAGTAAGGTTTCAGTGATTCTGATAATGCTAGTGACTGCAAGAATAATCACTAGAGATTTACCACTTTTCCATAAGGACTGAAACATTAGGATTATTCTTTCTTTCTTTCTTTTTTTTTTTTCTGGGGATTGAACTCAGGCCCTTGAGCCTGCCAGGCAAGCGATTATTCTACTGAGCTAGCTCCCTGGCCCCTGAAACATTAGGTTTAAATCAGGGGTATATGTTTTCTTTCTTAGGTTGAATTTATCAAAGAAATTCGTCCTGAGAGTGGAGGGGTCACTGCTGAGTTCTTCCACTGTGTATTTGAAGAGATGACCAGCCAAAATACGGAATGTTCATATATCCTGAGGAAGGTTCCTGCATGTGGTTTCCTGTCAGTGTAAGTCTCTCATCTTTTTTTGAACAGAAAATATATCCCATATACTACAATATGAAAACCATGGAAAATAATGCCAGATGGCATCATAGCCTTGGGAACCTGTATTTCAAGTAATACTTGTGTGGTTCACAGAGCAGCACCCAGAGCATTGCCTTGGAGCACTTAGAAAAGCAGAATCTCTGGTCCTACCCTCAAGCTACAGAAAGAGAATGTATACTGTATAAGATCCCCAAGTGATTCATACACATGTTAAATGTTAAATAGCATTATCAAATTATAATTGAAACAGAAAAAAACCACACATATTTAATTTCCAGTTGGTACGTTTTCATATAGACATTAATATACAACCAAAATTATGAATATGTCTATAATTCCCCCAAATTTTCATTTCTCTTTACAATTCATCCTTCCTATTCCTCTCTGCTGAGGACTATGCAGCCACTGATCTGCTTTCTGACAGGATAGAATAATGTGAATTTCCTAGACTCATACAAATAAAATCATAATACAGTCTTCAGTGTTTTCTCTTATCATTCTGCATAATGATGCAGAAATTCTTTCACATAAAAAAAAGAAATTCTTTCACATTGTAGCACGTATTCATAGTTTAATCTCTTTGTTGGAGAAAAATATTCCATTATATGGTTTACTGCAATTTCTTTACCTCATCCCTGCTGGATGAATTTGGGATTTGTCCTAAATTAAAACCCAGTAATCTAGAGTGCTTCAAGTTGGTGGAGAAAGTATTGATAGGATACGAGAGATAACTATTAATTCTGAAAAGGTGATTGACTTATGTAATTATATATTTTAAAGATGTTTGAAGTATAAAGCATTTTTATTTTAAAGTAATAAAAAAAATCAACTTTGTTCCTTTTTAGTAACACAGACCAAATAGTTCTGGGGGAAATCATATGTTGAGCTTCTATTCAATGGTCATCTTTCTCATAAAATTTCAAATTCTTCTTCCAAATGACATGATGGATGTTTGGACAGAAAGATGATAAAAACAAATGGATATGAATGCATATTACCTGGATCTTGTACCTCTTTGAGAATGAATGAACCTCTAAAAGTTAGGAATGGGTATGATAAGCCAGTGGTAAAACTTTGTATCAGAAAATCAGCAGGCATTTATTTATTGATTTATTTATCATTTCTTCATGTGCCCTTGTTGTATTAATGTAAGAGATTGAAATTATACAACACAATCCCTTTCCTCCTGAAACTTTTTATGTATATTAATGGAGTAATATGACTGAAATTCCAGATTGCTAACTTTGTACGTAGTAGTTACTGAGATGTACAATTCCATAGGGAAGGATGGACTGGTGTGGGAATAGAAGCCCAGAGTGCAAGTCCTGAGTGACAGTGACCACAGAATGGCTGAATTTTCAGTTTCTCCTCAATGAAATGGGTAACATCATTTTTGTTCTGCCTGCTTTATGAGACTGATATAAGAATAAAATAAGCAGGCCAACCAAATAGCTCAGTGGATTAAAGTGCCTGCAAGCAAGCACAGGGGCCGGGGGTTCAATCCCCTTGCCTGTTGTGCTGGCCCTACCCTCGGGACATGCTGAGATGGCAATTGAGACTGAGTGTGGTGGTGCACGCTTATTAATCCCAGCTCTTGGGAGGCTGAAAGCAGGCGGATCAGTATGAGTCCCATCTAGTAGTGAGACCTTGGACACCCTGTAAACCCTTCCCTAACATGCAAAAAAAAAGAAAGAAAAGAATAAAATAAGGTTTGTGAAAGTATAAAACACCATGATATGTCAGGGCAAAAACAAATTCAAGCTAGTATTAGAACAGGAAAGAGACACACTATTAGAGAAAATTTCATGCAGCAGTGGAGACCTGGGGTTGATGGTTAAAGACAGGGACAAAATGGACCAAAGAGATGTAGTTGAAGGATGGAGAAGAAAATAAACTGCATCAGCCCTGGGATGTAGCTGGTTTATCTTCCTATTACAAAGGAAGAAACTGAGGCTAAGAGACATTAAATAATTTGTCCAAGACACAACCACTAGCAAGAGATCATGCCACAACATGACTTCAGGGCTACGTGACTCCATAGCCTTACTTTAAGCATTATTCTGTCCTGCTGGAGAGAAAACACAGAAACCAAATAAATCTGCTTAAGTTCATGTAAAGTACAAACGGAACATATGCCAAAAGAAAGAAAACTGATTAATATAGGAGAAGCCACCTTAGATATTACTTATAGCTTTAACTTACATTCAATTTTCAAGTCTATCTTTATCATTTATCATCACATAGGTGAAATCTATAGGGCAACTAGGTATAGTAGACAGAATACATGAGGGGCCCAAGCTCAGTACCTGTTGAGAACAAGGCTGACACAAAACGGAAATCTTAGGCTCATGGACTTTCCTCAGTTGGGCTGCAGTTACAGCTTTTATAGAGGGAGCCAGGCTTTGCAGAAAAGCGTTAGTCTGTAGTTGCCACTGAGTGAAAAACCCAACACTTAGAAAGAAGAAAGGTGTTTTAGAAAGAAGAAAGGTTTATTCAACTTATACACCTGGAGTTCTGAGAGTATGGCGTCAGTGTCAACTCAGCACCCATGAAGATCTGGTGGTAGACGGCGACATGGAAGATGCTCCTGCAGATAACAAACCTATTTTGTTTCTAATTTGCGATTTTAGAAAACAGAACCTAAAATTTTCTGTAGTGAACTAATAATCTCTTTGCATAATTATTTATGGGCTTTTCACTTCTTTTACAGCCAAAATGTGAAAAAAAGAGATACTTCCTCTTTGGGCTGCTCTGTGGACTCTCCCTATTCAATTTCAATATCGCCAACATCCCTTTCCCACTGGCTTTGTATAAGAAACTTCTGCACCAAAAGCCATCTTTGGAAGATTTAAAAGAACTTAGTCCTTTTTGGGGGAAGTAAGTAAATATATTTGCTTTTCAAAAACTGTATCTAGTAAGACTTAAGTTACTTATTCAGAAATAATGTTGCACAGATAAGGTCATCAGTTTTGATATTGTATGCCCTTTAAATGAATATGAATTTTAGCATGATTTATAATTGGGTAAGCCTTCAAAATTGAGGAAGAACCCATGTTCCTTAATAATTACCTAGTATCATAAACAGATCTCTGGCCTGGTCTCTTGGTTTTATCCAGTTAGATACAGTTACTTTATTTTTTTTT